TTTATATTCTCATCTGAATCATTTGTATAAATGACAAACAAAAGTGGACCCAGCACCAATCCCTGTGGAACATCGCTCGTAATAGGTATCCGGTCCAAAATACAAACCCTCCTGCCGCTAAGCTAATTTAGTAGCCAATTGGCATGCTTACCCTGAATCTCATGTGATCTGACTTTACTGATTAGTCTACCATGCAGAACCTTATCAAAGGCTTTACTAAAGTCCAAGTAAACACTATCTACCGCTATGCCCTCATCAATCTTCTTGGTTACTTCCTCAAAAAAACTGTCAAGTTTTGTGAGACGTGATTTCCCTAATACAAAACCGTGCTGACTATCCCCAATCATTCCTTGCCTCTCCAAATGCATATAAATCTTATCTTTCAGAATCACTTCCAACAACTTAACCACCACTGAAGTCAAACTCTCAGTTCCCAGGCTTCTCCTCCTTACATCCCTTCTTAAACAAAGACACAACAGTAGCCACTGTCTGGCCATCCAGCACTTCACCATAGTTATAGAGGCTAAAGTCTTAGCAATTCTTGAGCAGGCAGAAAAGAAGCTGGGAGGGTGCTATATATCATCCCATCCAAAGAATGCATCCCCAACACGACCAGTAGGTCAGAATACTGAATGTGACTGGGGCAAGTGGTTCGCTACAGCCTGAGAACCAAGACACACTTGGTTTGTTGCTCAAGTCCTGAAGACCATGCAAATGTTGCTCTCTGTGCAGGAAGTCATTTCCTATAAGCTAGCTCAGAGAGGATATAGGCCAGTTTAGGAGATGAGTAAATTGGGAAAACTTTTGCAATGTTCCCCACATAAATGGTATGGTGTCAACACAGAACTCTTTGGACGGTGATTTTAAAAAAGCGCACCAAGAACAATTACTTATTTGCCACTTGTATTTAAAGGACCACCTTGATTTATTGTTTAAACTTTTTTTTTCAGACCGAGATGGAGATTTTTGATATCCCCAATGAGCGAGTTCCTTTTTCAAGTGCATTTCAGCTGATGTTGGCTTGCATCATTAGATTGGAAAACCTGGAACCGAGACCACCTTCTGACTTCGTTGCTGTAGCAATTTAAAAATTTATGATGTACTAAACTGCACTTCTTCAGTTCTGAGCAGCCTTTAGTTAAGACTCGTGGAACACTGTTTCAGAATTCCTACTTTAGAGGTGTCTGTATAATCATTTTGTATCTCGCAGATAGTTATATATCCACATTTTGTAAGATTTCCTTTTTATTTTTCTTCTGTATTTCCCCTTGCCATTCATTGATTCAGTTAGATCTTAAGCTACATCATACAACATCAAGTGGAAGAGTCACCTTTTTTATTAAGGTGGCAATCAAGCTCAGGACTCTTGTGAATACTGTTGAACTTTGGCAGAAGAACCATCTACAACAGGCACCGTTTTTCTGCAGGTTTCTTCAGTTCTGGGTAAAGTTGAGATATGACAGCTGTAAAACCTCTGTGTACACTTGTATGAAGAATAGCAAATTGGGACTGGGGAACTACTGGCATTTGTGGACCCAAACCCCAGTAAGAATCAGCATCTTTTCATTTTCATCCAAAACTTGAAGAGAAAGAAACACTGATACAAACTTTGCCAGAGACAGTTGAAATGTGTACTTTGGAAATGGCAAGCCCATTTTGCTTATACAAGCAGGCAATCCACAGAACAATTACACACTGTCCAAAAGAAAAAGCTAATTACAAGCAGTCTCCATTTCTGTTCAAAACTGACTTGTTTTTATTCTGTGTAGTATCATGGAGAAGGGAGAGATGATCTCTTCTCCACCCCACCCCACCCCACCCCCCTTTACCTGTCTGAAAACAGATGTGCTTTAAAAGGAAAAAATAACTCACACTGATATATGGCAGATTTTGTTGTATATTTTATGAAAGGAGGATGTTTAATAATTCTCCCAGCCATACCTACTAACTCATACAGAGAGACACTTGAGGAAAATATTGTTTATAAAAAGTGTCATGCACTTGGGTCTTAAAAGTTTGAAAGTCACTGTGACACTTACTCCTCCAGAAATGAGGCCATAATGTTGAGTGTTGTTTTTTTTCTTTTGGCTCACTGAAGAATAGAATCTCAATGTTGTGAAAGACTAATTTCCTGCAGTAGCAGATTTTTCTTGTTCCACTGTAGGGCTTTACAGCATTGGGGGAAAAGGCTGTTCAGCCCATTGTTTATCTTGGTCATCTACTGTAGTCCCATGTTCCAGTCTTTGGACCGTAATGGTGTTTCAAGTGTTCATCTAAATACCACACTAAAATGTTGTTGGGTGCAAAGTTCTTGCTTAAGTCTGTGACCCCCTGATTATAACTCCTCCATTAAGAGGAAAGGTTTATTCTTTTCTACTTTATCTCTGCCTGTGAAATGCATACCTTAATCGGGTCAGTTATCCTCACCCCAAAGTCTTCCCTGCTCTAAGGAAAACAACCCTGGTCTAACTAGTCTCTCTTCATAGCTGGTAAATCTCCTCTGCACCTTCTGTACTACTATCCTAGCTTTCTGAAAGTGTGGTGATGAAAACTCCATGTAATACTTCATCTGGGGATAAACTAACATCTAACTCCATTGTAATCTCCTTAATCTTCTGTACAATACCTCAAATAATAAAGAAAAGTATCCCATATTTTTAATTCAGCTGTCATGTTGCTTTCAAGGATCTGTGGCCATGCACACGAAGGTTCTTCTGATCTCTACAGCCTAGGGTGCACTCTCTTCACCTTTTGTGCTCCCAAAATGTATCATCTTACACTTGTCTCAATTAAATTCCGTTTGCTGTGTTCTAACCACTTAGTCTATTTCGTTCTGTAGTCTTGGGTTTTCCTCATCTCTGTTTACCACGTTGCCAATTTTGTGTCATCTATGAAATACTGATCAGACTCCTACATTTGTGTCTTGATTGTAAATGCACACCCCAAACAGCAAAAGACCCAGCGTCAAACCCTGTAGTATGCACTGGACATAGGCTTCCAGTCACAAAAATCAACTTTGATGATAACCCTGTGCTTCCTGTCTCTGAGCCAATATTAGATCCAATATGCTGAATTGTTCTGGATCACATCAACTTGTTACCTTCTTGAGCAGTCTCCAGTGCAACACCTTGTCAAAGTCTTCCTGATGTTCATGCACATAACATAAACTGCATTACCCTCATTGACGTACCTAGTCAACACCTCAAAAAAAGACTAAATCAAACCTGTCAGACATGATTTCCCCGATAAATCATGCTGACTATTTTCAATCCTTGCCTTTTCAAGTGAAGATTGATATTTTCCAACCCGATGCTAGACTTACTAGCCTGTAGTTTTCTGGCTTATTTCTCTCCCCCCTTCTTGAATAATGGTATCGTGTTAGCTGTGGCCAGGGAGAATTTGAAAATTAATGTCAGGGCCCCTGCAATCTCATGCCAGAACTCTGGGGTGCAAATTGTTGAGGAGGTAATAGCGTAGTCGTATTATTGCTCGACCTTTAATCAAGAGACCCAAGTAATGTTCTGGGGACCTGGGTTTGAATCCTTCCACAGTTGTTGGTGAAATTTGAATCCAATAAAAATCTGGAATTAAGAGTTTAAGGATGACTATTGTTGATTGTTGGGAAAAGCTATCTGGTTCACTAATGTTCTTTCGGGAAGGACACTGCCATCCTTACCTGGTCTGGAATGCATGTGACTCCAGACACAGCAATGTGATTGACTCTTAACTGCCATCTGAGCCATAAAATATTGGCCCGGGATTTTTCGAATTGTAAGCTTGTTAAAATTGCTAATTCCTCCTCCATCTCAATTATAATTTGTTGCAGCATATCACAGTCCTCCCTGATTTCGAGAGCTACATTGTCCTCCTCTCGTGAATACAGATACAAAGTACTCATTAAAAACCACCTGTGTGTGAGCTCCACACAGAATTTGCCACTTTGGCCCCCTAATGTGCCCGATTTTCTTTTTGCTTTTTCTTTTCTCCCCGATTATCCACAATGTATTTAAAAATGTTATTTTATATTACCTGCCTGTGTTTTCACATGCTCCCTCTTTACTTTTCTAATTTTATTTTTAAGCAACTCTGTGCATTTTCTACAAACCTCCAGGGTTTCTGGTGTTATGAGCCCTCTGTATCAACCATGACCTTCCCTTTTTTTCCTTATCCAATCCTGTAGGTTCCTTGACATCCAGGATTCTCTGGGCCTGTTGGTCCTCTACCCTGACAGGAATATGTTCACCCTTCACTTTCACCATTTCCTGTATTGGAGCACTCCACCTGCTCTGATAGGGCTTTTCCTACAAGCAGATGCTCCCAGTTCAGTTTGATCAAATTACATCTTGTCACATCTTGCACCCCAATTCAGAACTTCTACTTCCAGTCCATCTATGTCCTTTTCTGTGACTACTTTAAATCTTGCTGAATTCTGGTCACTATCAGAAGTGCCTTCTTACCAATGTTTCTACCACATGCCTAGCTTTGTTCCCCAAAATTAGGTCCAGCACTTGACCTCCTTTTTTAATAGGATTTACTGCATGCTCGCTTTTATTTTGGAGATGTTTTAAGAATTCCACTCCCTCTAAGCTTGTCACACTTTGTCTATTCCAGTTAATACGGGGAGATTGAAATCCTCGACTTATTACTCTAGTATTGTTACGCATCTCTGAAGTTTGCCTACATATTTGTCCCCTCTCTCTGGTTGTTTATGGGTCTATAGCGTCTATTGAGGAATCTTCGAGGATAACATCCCTCTTTATTGCCATACTTGACTTCTTGATCAATATTGGAACTCCACTTCCTCCTTTACATACTCTCTGCCTCACATTAAGATTCCATGCTCTAGAACATTGAGCTTTCGGTCCTGTCCCCCTCAGAACCATGTCTCTGTGACAGTAATGATGTATCTTTACGTTAATCAGCACCATCAACCCGTAAGTCTTACAAGACTCCTTGCATTAAAACCATGGCGAGCAGCCTTGCCATGCTCTTTTGTGCCCTAACTTGATGTTACATGCTCTGGCTTCTGCACCGAGTTGACTGCTTTTCTATATTTGTCTGTGCATCACCCCCTATTGTACCTCCATTCCTTATCCCTCACACTGCCAAATTAGTTCAACACCCTTGCACCATATGTAAAAGGATGCTTATCTTGTTTCAGGTCCCATATTCCCAACAAACACACCCAGTGATCTAGGCCTGCCTTCCTGTACCAACTCTTAAGTCACACATTAATTTGCTTTATCAGCCTATTCCAATACTCTCGAGCACAGCAGTGGGAGTATTACAGAGATTACAACCGTCAAGGTCCTGCTTTTCAATTTCCCTAGTTCCCAAAATTCTTGTCGCAGGACCTTATCGTTCTTTCCACCCATGCCATTGATACCAATGTGATTACTGTTGTCTTCCCCGCTTAAAATGCCCTGCAGCCATTCACTGACATCCTTGACCTTCCATCATGGAGTCACGTCTGCAACTACAGAAACACTTGGCTGTATCCTTCACTATTGAATCTCCTACCACTATTGCTGTTTCTCCTGACCCCCTTCTGTAGCTGGGCTCTGGCTGCTCTCCCCAGAGAAACCATTACTCAGTAGTTTCCAACACTGGAAAACTTTATTTAAATGCACTCGTGGGATGTGGGCATCGCTGACTGGGCTAGTATTTATTGTCCATCCCGAGTTGACCTTGAGAAGGTGTTAATGAGTCGTTTTCTTGAACCACTGTAGTCCACATGGTGTAGGTAGACTCAATACCATTAGGAAGAGAAGGGAATTCCAGGATTTTGACCTGATGACACTGAAGGAATGGCGATATATTTCCAAGTCAGGGTAGTGAGTGACTTGGAGGGAAATTTGCAGGTAATGTCCTAGACAGGTGGTTATTGGCTTGGAGGGTACTGTCTAAGAAGCTTTGGTGAATTTTTGCAGTGCATCATGTATATTGTGCACACTGCTGCTACAGAACCTCGGTGGTGGAGGGAGTGAATGTAGTGCCAATCAAATCGGCTGCTTTATCTTAGATGGTATCAAGTTTCTTGAGTATTGAAGGTACACTCATCAGGCAAATGGGGAATATTCTTATCACACTTCTGACCTATGCCTTGTGGAAGTTAGATAGGCTTTGGGGAGTCAGGAAGTGAGTTACTTGCAGTAGGACTCCTAGTCTCTGACCTACTGCTGTAGCCACTTTATTTATATGGTGAGTCCAGTTCAGTTTCTGGTCAATGGTAACCCCAAGATGATGACGGTGTTTGGGTGCGGGGGGGATGTGGTATCAGTGATGGTAACACCATTGAATGTCAAGGGCCAGTGGTTAGATTGTTTATTGGTGATGGTCATAGCTTGGCATTTGTGTTGTGCAGATGTTACGTGTGACTTTGCTGCCTAAGCCTGGGTATTGTCCACATTTAAACATGGACTGCTTCAGTATCTGTGGAGTCGTGAATGGTGCTGAACATTGTGCAATCAAGCAGTGAATATCCCCACTTCTGACCTTATGATGGAGGGAAGATCATTGCTGAAGCAGCTGAAAATGGTCGTGCCTGGGATACTACTGTAAGGAACTCCTGCAGAGATGTCCTGGAGCTGAGATGGCTGACCTCCAACAGCCATAACCATCTTCCTCTGTGCCAAGTATGCCAACAGAGAGTTTTCCCGATACCTGTTGCTTCCAGTTTTGCTGGGGTTCCTTGATGTCACACTATCAAATGCAGCTTTAATGTCAAGGACAGACCCTCTCACCTCATCTCTGTCGTTCAGTTCTTTTGTCCATGTTTGAACCAAGGCTGTAATGAGATCAGGAGCTGTGTGGTTCTGGTGGAACCCAAACTGGGCGTCACTGAGCAGGTGCTACTTAATAGTACTGTTGATGACACCTTCCATCACTTTATTGATGATCGAGAGTAGACTGATGGGGTGGTAATTAGCTGGTTTGTGTGTACAGGACATACCTGGGCAATTTTCCTCATTGTCGAGTAGATGCCAGTGTCGTAGCTGTACTGGAAAAGCTTGGCTTGGGATGCAGCTAGTTCTGGAGCACAAGTCTTCAGTACTATTGCTGGAATGTTGTCAACACCCATAGCCTTTTCACTATTCGGTGCCTCCAACCATTTCTTGATATCACATAACGTGAATTGAATTGGCTAAAGATTGGCATCTGTGCTGGTGGAGATCTCCAGAGGGGGCTGAGACAGATCATCCACTTGGCACTTATGGCTGGAGATTTTAGGGACTGTTGAGATTCATGCAAAGAATGTCCTGCAGTCAGCATCATAGTGAAGTAGTCTGGGAAGAGGGACAGATACCCAAGCAGTCTGGGACAGAGAAAGAGCGAACTGTTAGGTGGGTACCTTGTAAGTTGTATTAAACCTATTGTATCCTCAAGTTTTAACAGACTCTAGACTGTGGGAACGTTAATACAATACATAAAAAATACCATAATAAGTTAATAATATGACTAAATAATTAATTTAAAACTCATTGGAATGGCAGTATATGGGAGCCCATGGAAATCATTGTGATCCAGGGTAAGTATATCCACTCTTAAGTGTCTGAAGTTCATCCAGCTTCTGCTCATGAGGTAGAGGCTGAACTAGACACTAATATATCAGGGAGGGGCACAAGTTATCTGGATTTTTTTACTGGTAGGAATCAGTCATACCTTTTGGGATAGTGTGTTCTGACATGGTCAGGGACAGGAGGCTGTGACTGCAGCAGAAGCAGGTTAGGGGACTTAGAAGACAGATGTTACAGAGTTGGGCAGAGTAATTGTGAAGTGAAAGGCAGGAAGCTAAAATGTGTGGTTCCTTTAAGAGATTTGTGCTTTGTCTGTACTTAATAAATGTATGTCTGTGAGCAGCAGCTGAGGTTACCAGTTCAGAGAGCCTCAAAAAGTGAAACAAGTGTATCAAAAAAAGCCTTACAGGTGGCAGGCAAAACAACAGTCTTGTTTTAATCAGAGATAGTAGGAACTGCAGATGCTGGAGAATCCGAGACAACAAGGTGCAGAGCTGGATGAACACAACAGCCTAAGCAGCATCATAGGAGTAGAAAGGCTTACGTTTCGGGCCGAGACCCTTCATCAGAAGTCTTGTTTTAATGTTGTGACAAGTTTGAATTCAGCCAATTAATTTAAAACCAAACTCACTGATTCAAAGCCAATTTAATTTAAAAACTGATGGTGTTGATAACCTGAAACCAATCATATTATAAGAATTTGATTTTGTCACTACGGGTATATAAGACGAGGGCATTTGGAAAATTGGAAAGAGCCATCCGCCATCTGCCAGAGTTAGCACCGTTCAGCTCTCGGAGAAAGCCCATCTAATTAATCAAATTACCAAGGTATTTTACCTCAAATTCTTCACGGGAGAAATTACAGAGAGCATTAGCAGAAGATAGACATTTGTGAAGAGATCGGAGATGACAGAATATTACAGAAGACAGTCTGTGCAAACTTGGAGAGATTAAGTTATAATTTATTGCTTTGCATTAATTGGGTTTATATTAGTGGGACTTGTGTTTATTTGAACAGCATTCCAGTAGAATTTAGACCAGTAAGGGAGTAGTTAGTAGTCTAAGAGGGAATTGTCAGTTTG